GGTCATTTGTGACAAAATCGTTTTCAGTCGTTTTTTGGCATTCAGAAGGTCATTTAGCGGAAATGGACCATAGTTTTATACTCAGTGCTCATGCCCCTATACCATGCAAAAAACCATTTTCAAAAAGCGTCCCACGCCCTGAAAGACCTTCCTTGTTAGATGAGAAGAAGGTACACATAACTCCTACTGCGTAGAACAGAAAAAAGAATCGTAAAACGATTATGCGATATCTTCAGCACAAATCTAGGATGAAGGTGGAGTTGAGGCTAGATTCCTCCTCACGAGTCGTCTATGAATCCGATCAACTTCCGCTCTGGCGGAGTAAGCCTTCCAGCTTTACTGTATAGGTTAGTTCTCACTAGAACAATGTGGTTGGACAGTAGAACATGATTGAAAAAACCGTTGCTCAAGAGAAGTTCGCATTCGAGCTCTTCACTTTTCTGAGAAAAAGAGAAATACATAGTCAAGGAAATCATTGATAAATGAGCGGAATTCACCCTTTCCAGGTTTACAAAAAGCAATCTATCGCATTTGTAAAGGCTAGGTTTCCTGAACTGTCAAGGAAAGAAGCCAATAAGCAAGCGGAAAAGGAATTCAACAAAGCTGCGCGGTGAGCTTATTCTGATTGAAGCGAAAGGGACCAATAATTTTTTTTCTCCTCTTTTATGGTATCGTGAGATGAAGCTTTTCGGTTCATCACAGCCATCCGAGCCTCTTAGGAGCAGCACTATTACAGCGAATTCTTCACGCAAACGCTACAATTAGCTGTCAAACTTCGACCGAAAGGTCGCTGGGGCTATTACGATTACCCGTTCTGTAATGGAAATGCTGGTGATCTTCCAGATGATTTTTCTTGCAAAGAAGAAGCCAAGCGATACAACAATAAGTCGGTTGCTCATTTATGACGCGAAAGGGAAGGAATTTTACGATAACCACAATGATGATTTTTCAGGTTAGCTTTTATATACAATGCTAGCACAGCCCTCTTCCCGTCTATCTACTTGAATGGAAAGAAAACTCCAACTCAGAGCTTCCGCTATGTTCAGGTCTAGCAATAACTAATCCTTTTCTGCATCATTTTGACGGGATTCTACTGAAATGAGAAGCATTTTCAGGCTCTTCTAAAAGAGACAAAGCGTATCGCTAACGAGCAGAAACGGCGACCAAATTTCTTCGCTTATACAAAATTCGAATACGATCCGCGTACTGACTATACGTGGTTTTACAACAAGGTTTTCTATAATTCCAGGATACTTACCTTATATGTATTATCCTTTTCATTGGTTTCGGACTCCAAAGGCACAGCTCGCGATGATGAGCGCTCGAAGGTTTCCGACTACTATTAGTAAGTTATGGTCGCTGACACGGCCTCATACTGCATTGTCGTAAAGATGGGACCCTTCAAGAGCTGATCTTGGCGCTCGCTGCCACTCGATACCTTATAAAAGCTCAGATATCGCATAATTTGGAATGGAGCATGATTTCTAAGGGTGTATTAGGTTGGCAACACTCTCGACTAGTTGTTGAATTTTATATTTCTTCATCAAACGAAACCTGCAGTTTACAATATAATCACCAATATTATCTAGCACAAGTGCCCATCTTTCGGGCAGCTTCTCAGTCCCTACCTCCCAGAATTCTGGTGACTGCGACGGAAAGAAGTGGTCGATTTCATTTTCGAATTGACGACGGTCACCAAGTTTTTTCCCTTAGATGGTGCATCAGTGCTTTGAATAGGTGATGACCAGAAGTTGCGAGGTGAGTGAGCCGGATGCGGCCGTGCTCCCATCCGAGTTCCATAATTTTCGTTGGCCACATGCGGGGGTGCGTTATAGTGGAGTAAGACATTGAGTCTTTTCGGGCGTAACTCTCACACCACTTTGCGTTATGAAAGTCTTTTTGTCGGCCACTTTTTGAAACTGGTGAGCATAGACTGTGGCCGTCACTGTAGTGCCACTGACTAGCAGCTCCCAGTAGATCATTCCTCCGCAGTCCCACCAGCGACACAATAAAACCTTCTTCTCATGAAGGTCTGCTTTAGGCCCCGTAGGATTATGACGAGAAATGAAAGGTAAGATGGAATATAGTGCAATGAAGGCGAAGGATCTGCGTGAATCGGTGTATCCGAAGTGAAAAAAGGCATCGAAAAGTCTAAAAAGGAGGTTGGACGAGAATGTGACCAGAAGAGTGAAGAAGAGTGGGGCGTTTAGACGAGCTACGCACAGTGCGTCATTGCGTACATGTGGGTCCTGATGCAAACAACTGACTACGTTAAGCAAAAATTCATTCATTATAAGCATAAAAAAATCCTGGTTACAGCAAAAGTGACTCACTTTTTTCAGCCTCTTGGGGTAGGAAATTGAAGAAGGGATCGCGGCAGCAAGAAGAATAACAGAGGAAAAAAGAATAGGAGAAAAACATCGCCTCATCACTCGGCGAAGTGTCTATGTGATTGTGTGTGGGTCCTAGAACGAATAATAGTAATCTGTTTTGCATCGACACTTGTCTGACGTGACATCGATCGAGAGGCGGGAAAGCGACTCGAGACAGCAACAGAGCTTCCACTATGCCCTGACCGTCGAGATTTTGAGAGCGAGGGGGTCCCTTCAACCTCCCATGGGGCCACTGTTTTATCACTAAGGGAAGAACTCAGTAATCATTTTTATCGTGAACCGTGCCTTTGATAAGTCGTGTACCCAAGACGCATCCCACACTCCATAAAGGCATTTCCTATTTCAAACTTATGAAATTATGATGGTTTCCGAGGGAAGCGGAATGTTGCAAACACGAATACTACGAGAATCCTACTTTATATAATTCGCTAAGTGTGTCTGTTGGTGTGTCGGTGTGTTTGTGTGTGTGTTTGTGTGTGTGTGTGTTTGTGTGTGTGTCGGTGTGTGTGTTTGACCGGAAATTCATAACTCCTGTCTGAGTGGACCTAGAGCGTTCAAAATTGGTAGGAGTAAGGGGGACAGGAAGGGAACACCTTTGGTAAGTGGCAAGACCGGACTCCTGCACAGGGGGGTTTTGCGCCGCAATAGTCAATTTGGCCCTAAAGCATTCAAACTTGGCAGGAGTACAGGCGGTAGGATGGGAACATTTATCGTAGGTGGAAGGACCGGACCCCGCTTATAGAAGGCGAAGTTTGCGCCAAAACTTTCAGTTTGCCTCTAGGGCGTTCAAACTTGGTGTGGGAACACTTATGGTGAGTAGTAGGGTCGGACTACGCCCCCAAGGAACAGGATTCCACGAAATGAATGAGTGGAACTCCCTAACTCCTGATCCCGTGGACTTGAAGAGTAATCAGTAGGAGGGACAGGATGGGAACACTGACAATAGAAGAGGCCTCAGAGAAGAAGATCCACACACCAATTACCTCCTAGCGCCTTTGTTATTTACGATCTAGCTTTGACTTTTTGATATGCTTCATTCGACAAGATGGGTAAGTTGTGTGATTATAAGGAGATGAATTTGTTTCACTTCCTGCTATTAGATTACGACCGCTACCCAGCAGAGTTTGCGATTAAGTAAAAGAACACGGTTTCTCTTTGCTTTGATATCATTCTTAGCAAAATTTATCCGACCGGTAATAATGTTGGAATCACATTCAATGATGTATCCATAGAGAAAAGGAGGTACATCTTTGAAGGCATTCGATAGTCTATACTCTCGCTCGGCGAAAAAGCGAAATAACATATTAAAAAAGAGGACTTTCATAATTCGATATTTATCGGGCAAAGCCCCTTTGCCCTAAGAAGGAGGAGAGCCCCTGATGACCGCAATGAGGAACATTGATGGTAGCTAACATAGTAGCCTCAGCCGCGATGAAGTCTCTGAATACTTTTTCCTCTGAATAATCGCCTTTGTGATATTAAACGATGTTCTTTCGGACACAGCGAGGTTGGCTTACAGAAAAAATCGCTCCGACTTCGGAGCCAAAACTGAGGGTGTAGAGCTTTCAAAGCAAAAGGAGAATCCGAAGTGTTATTTACGCATAGCCAATTTCTCACAGGAAGAAGAAGCGCCCAGCGTAGCCGGGCGAATCCATAAGAAGGAGGGAAGCCTGGCGTTAGCCGGCGGCCCGACTGGTAATCTATAACCAGGCACACCGAGTCTTCCTATACTTTTTGCACAATGAATAAAGCGTCCGTTTCTTCAGGAATCCTCATCCCAAACATCCTTTTATATAAACTCAGATGTCCAAATTCAGGAAGATCTCTGCAGTACTGTGAAACAACCGGCAGACCTCGGAGCGAGAGGGCTGGTTTTGTGGAGCACCAGTACGGACATGAAAGACCGTTGTTATGGTATTGCCAACTACGTTGACACACAATTTGGACCGTGAGTTTTCATTTGTGTGCGGAACTTTCGGTACTCAGCTGTATTCAATTCTATCAATGGAAGGGGGTTTGAAACTCCGTTCGGAGCACTGTACATTACATGGAGATTCGAGGCTTAATGAAGCATTCAAGAAGAATATTGCTCTAGCATCATTTCTGTATACACCGCTCCACAGTTTCCGTCAGCCCCAAGTCGCACTGTGATTTTAAGGGGTTTCGCAGAACTTCTGTCCCCTAGTGTTCTCCATTCATCAAATGCTATTTTTTATTGTCAACTGATTAATTACTTGACGTCAGCAGCAAAACTCCTGCTTAGTACTACTCCATGTTGTTTGTTTTCCGAATTCCGGATCGATATCCCCCTAGGCCAACCATCCTTCCATCCCTGATGTGTTGGTTAATTTTTACCAGACTTGTCTGAAAGGCTAAAAGATCTGACTTGGGCATTGGCTGGCCACCGCAAGTCATTGTAAAGGCTACATTGGCATCCATTACGCCTCTACGATTCTGAATGGTCGATGTTGGAGCCATCCCTCAGACGGTATTGATAAAGCCCAGATACTTCATTCTTCACCATTTTAGTAAGTTCTAAGATGAAATTTTTTTCGGACATCCTAGTAAAACTCTATACGGTTTGATTAGCAAAATCAACAAATGAACATTCGAAAGAGGCTCTGGAGCTACCAATTGCGGTAAAAGGCAGAAGAAGAGCTAATGCGATTTTCCGCAATTTCGCGATTTCTTACGGCGGGTACTGTATGCTGTATATCAGCTTGGGAGACAGTAGGTGCTGAGCCCATGCGATGCAACTAGAGACAGAATATTGAAGGTTTATTGGGATAGAACTACACAGAGTATGAAGCGAAGATATCGATATGAGAGTATGCGATGGGGTAATACAGTCTCCGGGGCACTCGGGCAGTGGGTGCAGCTGCGGCTTCTCGGCGATCCTGTGCGTTCCTCCCATGACCATCCGTTGTTGCCCTTTCCGCCGCCCGTGTTATCATCGTCTCTCATCTCGAGTCGGCAAGCCTGGAAATAACAACATATTGCCGCCAGCCTACCGTACCCTTTTGCTCCCTTTACACCTCCCCTAACCACAAAAGTCCGTCCCGGACTTGTAAGAAGAAAAAACTTAGCTGAAGAGGCAGCAGGAAACGGTGAACGTCGGTGTCTAGACGACTATGTCGAGAGACGGCGCCGCTTCTTCGCGTCGAGACACCCATAAGCCCTTTGCGGAGTGGTTGAGTATCGTTGAGTATCGGAGATAGCAGAAAAAAAAGCTCAGTATGTTTTTGC